GTCTAACAGCGAAGTGTCGGATGGGAAGCGGAGTCGCTGACGTATTGCCGGAGCGAAAATCCGTAGGCCGACTACGACAAGAAGGTGAAGGAGTCCCAGTCGCAGGAGAACGCATCGGGGCCCAGGTCTTCCTTTACGGCTTGCATCGCCGGCTGATTCCGAGAGAATTACACCTGACGATTCGAGTGCTACAGGTGCCGGCAGGGTCAAAATGCTCAAGCTGCAACAAAAACAGACATTGCCGACATGTAGATACATACATGTATACACATGAGTCATGTATGTATTGTTGGAGCAATTTGGGCTTATGGAGTTCTTGCCATGCTTGAATGCGAAGCTGGTCATGCAAATCCTTTTGAGTCCTGCCGTTGATATGCAAAGGCTCTGACAGTATGTCCAATCCAACAAACTTTGCTTAGGGAGGGCTGCATGGATGATTTGAGCCTCAGGCTTGGTTTGCAGCTATTCATCCTTGTTTGGTGAGATGAATCCAAGCATGGACAGCATGGATATCATTGGCATCATTCGTTAGTTCAGAACCTCTTGCTTTTGACACCCAGGCATCAGGGCTTTCAAATCATCAAATCACCCTGCAGCAAGTTAGGCTCCGCTTTTGCCTTGCGCTGAGGTTGTCGTTCGATGGGATATTGGCCGGCTACCCAGAGTCTGGGGTTTCTCTTTTTGCAGTCGATTCCTGGAGATGCCGTGCAACCTGCACATTGCTTGATGCGCTGAGCGTCGCCCGTTGCGGCATGCTTTGGCCAGTTTGGTTCAGGCACTCCGCCCCGCTCCCCCGTTCCTTTGACTTCCCTGACCACTTTCAGAATTTTAGCGGAACTTGCCCCAAGCCCCTGCACTCTTGGGGATATAGCTGTCTGGAATTTATTTTTGAACTGCCCACCTGCCTTGTTTTTTTCTCTTTTTTTTCTTTGAAATGTGCCCTATTGCTTCTCTCGTCTTTTTTGCGCCCAACGCCTTGGGGGTCATTTGGAATTTTGTCAATGCAAGAGGCGCCAATGTATGGCGTGTACAGTCCAACTCAGTGCCGATCACAAAACGCTCTACAGGGGTGCGCTCGTTCCACTGGCTGGCGATGAACCACATTTGCGCGGAAAGAAGCTCATCGCTTGTTTTTTTTTCTTATACGCGGGGTTTGTTCAATTTGTGTCGCGAAAGTCCCACCCGTCTGACCTGGCCCGTCACCGGATTTTTTTTCCTTTGCAGCGCAGAGTTGGCAATTGACACCCAAACCTTCCGAAGACCTGGCGTTACCTTTTGAGGCCTTCTTCTTTTTTGGGTGGGTGCAATGGGGTCATGGACGTCTGGGATACTTCAGTTACTTCTGCTTGCCGTGGCGGCATGGCATCCTGAAAGTGCTATGAGGTCTCAACAAGAAGCGGATCGCTTACTTCCACTTCACCAAGGAGGATAGCGAGGCTCAAATTCGAGAGTCTTTGATGTGCAAGAATCGAATGCTTGAAGCCAAATTAGGAATAAGAAGCTAAATGCATCAGACCAGGCTGCGTTAGCTGATGAGGAGAGAATGGATCATTGCATCACCACGCACAAGCTGAGAGCAGCGCCACTCTTGTTCCTATGTTTGTTCTGACTTGCGATTAGAACCTTGCTGGGAGCTGCACTAAATATGATTTGAGACCACCAGACTCGGACCACAGAAACTAGACGTTGAAAACAAGGGAGCAACTGCCATTTGCTAAGCCATCCAGCCGGTTTGAATATTTAGGGGTCCACGCCGAAGTCGAAGTGTTGCGCTTGATGTGCAACCAGCACAAGGGTTCCTTTGTGCCAATGTGTTGGGCTTCTTGGATTATTCAACTGGTGTATGTAATCACTTCGCAGGCAAGACATAGTTCTTGCTCGCAACTGTACGGAGCTGCTGTGAACAATTCAGAAACTGAGGCAGACCAGGCCACTAGGAAGTACAACGCAAAGGTGACATGTGCACACCCAAGCACGTGTACATGCACTGCACGTGTATGCGCGGATTCATAGACATGTGTAATATCCCTCCAGATGGCAACTGCTTCGTTCACTCTAGGGGCTGAATTAGCGGCATGACGAATTTTTCAAAAGGCCATGTCACGCCGTGGCTCGACCGCTTCAAAAGCTAGGCATACCATATGTCTCGCAACGCATCCTACGGTGACCTGTGTCGCTTGCGAAAGAAAGCGCATCAAGCGGGAGAGTGCCAATGAAGACAGAACGTGCATGCATGCCAGAACGGGCATGAATGTGGGTACTGATGTATATGTGCCAAAAACAGTTCAAATATACAAGGAGCTGCAAACGCGGGTTCAGCTGGACGATGCCAGGAAACAACACATGAGTTGCATGTGCGAAGGCGCATGCTACAACATAACTCCTACATACTGGTAACTACAAAGCACAATGCTCACCCATGATGTTTGATAAAATGCAATAATGCGGCCAGCGCAGCTGCAACCACAATGGCGTCAAATTGTCAAATAGAAATAGCTGCAATGCAGTGTACGCAAAAACCACAGACAACTGCTTGTGAGGAACATGTAGTCGTGTATTCTATGCTCCTTGTGTTCCAGTGCATGCATGGCGCGGCTTTATGAAGGGCATGCTCTACCCTTCACGCTACCGCCTCAGTACCTTGTGAACCCCCTCACCAAATCAGACTTTCAGGGCCAACCACCAGCACGAGGCAAATCATTCGCAGCGTTGTTTTTGTTTAAGAAACCATATATTTTATATATTTAAGTTATATATATATATATAATAATAATGATACTGATACTGAGAATGATAATGATAATAACAATAATCATAATTATAATGATAATGGTAATGATAATAATAATGATAATGATAATGATAATAACAATAATAATGACAATGATAATGACAATGATAATGATAATGGTAATGATAATAATAATAACAATAATGATAATGATAATAATAACAATAATGATAATGATAGTGATAATGATGATAATGATACTAGCAATAATAATGACAATGATAATGGTAGTGGTAATGATAATGATAATAACAATACACATAATGATAATGATAATGATAATAACAATAATAATGACAATGATAATGATAATGATAATGATAATAATAACACCAATAATGACAATGATAATGATACTGATAATAACTATAACAATAATGATAATGATAGTGATAATGATAAAAAATATCAATAATAATAATAATGATAATGATAGTGATAGTGATAATAATAACAATACTGATAATGATAATAACAATAACAATAATAATGATAATGATAATGAAAATATTAATGACAATGATAATGGTAATGATAATGATAATGATAATAATATCAATAATAATAAAGATAATGACACTAACAAACACAACACACGCGGGATCCGAAGGCGCGGCTGGTGCCGGGCGACGAGCTGCGCCTGCGGCTGAACTCCTCGGCCTACGCCAATTTGGCCGGGGCCGATGCGGGGAAGCCCTGGGCTCCGGCGTGGCCGGGTCGCGGGGGTCGCGGGTCCTGGGGCCGGGGGGTGCCGCGGGGTGCCATGGATGCCATGGGTGCCGATGTGGCGGCCAAGAAGCCGCGAAAAACCGCTACCCTAAAAGAGGAGGTAGCAAATATACTGTATTTGGCCGGGTCGAGGGTGGATGAGGCATTTGCTCAAAGGATGGGGAGATGAAGGAGAGGGGCAGTCCCAGCCAGAAATAGTGGCGGATCTCCGCCTTCATTCTTGAAGCATGGGTAGATTGTGACTCACCTAGAGTCTATTCTTTGCAGCCAAGAGCTCCCAAAAAAACAAACACCCTGAAGAAGAAGGTTGCAAAAATGCCCCTGAGTGTGTTCAGCATACCGGGGGGCGAAAACAGGGAGTTTCACCCCATTCCCGGTATTTCAAGAGGCTCAAAAGGGAACCCAACTCAACCCCCCGCCTCTTAGGTCCTCCACAAAAACGCCCTCGGAGAGACCGAAGCACCGAGAAGCTCCGGTGGCCGCTTCCTCGCGTCCGAGGAGACCGGCTGGAGCGCCGTGGGCCACGTCTCCAAGATCACCGCCAACGAAGAGGTGGCCTTGGAGCTTCGGGGGCCCCAGCAGGCGAGCGAGGGGCGGGGAATTTGGTCCGGGTGATGGGGGCGCCAAGGGAAGAATGTTTTGTGGCGTTAAGCAAAGAAAGCGACAAGTCTTTGGTTTGTCTCCCTTTGGTTTGTTCAACAATGTATTCATACTTTGAAGCAACAAGAACAACCGGGGTTCATTGTTTCTCTGCGCTATTAATGTCTAACTTTTGGCAGAGGTCAAAGAGCAAGTCAGTTGTGGTCACTGGTGCCAGCCAAGATTTGTAGAATATTATTGTACTGCAGCGATTTCAGTTGAGCGTCACACGTACAAAAGTAACACTTGTGGATCCAAGCTGCATTTGTCTGACGTGGTGGATGGGGCATAGATTGAGCGGAATTGCAGACTAAATGGTTTGAGACACATTTGACTTGAATCCGAATTCACAGCAATGGAGTTTCACGCGAAGCGGATCCTCATACAAGTTTAAGTAGGACTTGTGTGATTTGGGGATGGCTTGTTATAAAACTAGCGCAGGACCGAAGACGCGTGACAAGGAGATGTGGCTAAGTGCGTTGCATGGGTTTACTTTTTCGAAGGCTGGCTGCACCCCAGCGAGCATGACACTCGCGCTTTCCGAACTTGTTCGTGCGATGTGTTTGAGCGTGATATTGCATTTGCACGCGCCGCAGCTCCGTGACCCATGGTGGTTTCCAAGCTGGTGAACCCCTTTTGGTAGGTGTTTGAGGGGAAGCCAAATACACATTCTTGATACTTTTTTTTGAGGAACCCACAAAGGAAAGTGTGCAAACAGGGGCACAACACCAGTATTGCTTTACTCACCTCTTGGAAATGCACGAGACAGTGGCCAATATTTTATACCACCCGCTTCGGTTGAGAAAGAGACGCAGCTGTTTGAGACTGCGCCTTGGCGCAGATGGGACCTTGGGACATCAACCACGGCTTCCAAGTTGAGTTCGCCCGGAGCTCGGTGTTAAGCTCGGGATGGTCAACCTCACATGGTGATATCAGACCGTTGCAAGGGTTCTAAGTGAGGAAGCCATGATCATGGGCCACATAAAGAGTTGTGTGCCACGATATGGAAAGAAGGATCACACCAACTGGTTGCCTGCCAACTTTCAAGCAAACACTAGCTGTTCGATGGCAAACAGGTTGGTTCTTGCAACTTTCAATGCATGGAGTTGGTTCGTTTGTGGGAGAACACATGGCTTAGCCCTGATATAGCGAAGATAGAGTTGCTACGTATGATTGGGGTGGTCATTCACCCTTTGGACAGGGAAGCCTTGTCAAGATTTGAAATCTCTTTTGGTGGGTTGTTGGGGGTGGGAGTCAATCCCTTAGCAGGGCTACGCTTAATAACGCTGTGAATGGTAGAGTACCTCTCTCTTCTGCTGTAGGCAGAATGTGAGGTTGTATTTGGAGGGTACTCAGCATGTGAGCTACCATGCCGCATCATAAGTGGCTGAACCTGCCTCAAATTGGAGCCCTTCCCACGTTTGCAGATGCGTGTGTTTGAGTCCCATGAACGCTGATTGCCCCTGCCCTTTGTTCGCCGTAGAGGGGGATCAAAGATTTAATATAGTTTTCAAAAAGCTGGAGGGGCATTGAACTCAACTTCCCAGTTGCAACACCCTTGGGGCGTTGCACTTGGGACAGCGAGTCTTGGCACTCGAGGTTTGGGCTTCAGGCTTTCTTGCAGCTGGTTCTTCCGGGCTGAGGTTTGCGAGCCACTGGAATTCGACTCTTTATGCACGGCATGATCAGAACTCCGTGGAGTGTTTCACATACCCAGGACGCACAGAGACTGTTCCAAGCCCACCGCCCAACTCGAGTTCTAATTGGAGCAGAGAGAGTGGGTTCTCTGCTTCTTCAGCCCTCGCAACATCTGACTCAATTTGAAGCGAAAAATATGGGGACTCACTAACAACCATCGTAAGGCTTCCTAAGGGAAGGGAGCCACTGTGGCCATTGGGAGTTTTGGACCACTGTATTTGTCCTTGGTCCTGGGGGGAAAAACCAACTGCGTCATTTTGTGCCCGCGGCACCTTCGAAGCCGCAGGTTTGGAAGTCGACCTCCTTCGACCGCATGCAAGCGGCGATGCGCACCTTCGCAGTGGATGACACAAGTGCTGGGCTGCCCAAGAGGCAAAGGCTGCAAGGGTTCCGGCGCAGGCGGCACCAAGCATGAGGCATGCGTTCTCAACAGTTTCAATATCAGCCGATTCTGATCAGACAAGCTCCTTGTGAGATGCTTTGCTCATCAGATGGCAAGGTAAGACTCAGCCTTTTTTGCCAATATGTAGAAACAAAGATGCGTCGCTGAACCACTTGTATCATGCCGACAATAGTAGGGTCTTTATTGCAGCACATTGGACCAAGTTGGATCCCAGCAAATGGGCTTTTGCTTAGATGGGGCATGGTGCAAGTCGGCTCGAAGGGATGACTTCCCGGGCGTTTGCTGTGCCTCAGGTCTCGGGTTACTTGTATCACAAGCTCCTGGGCGCAAGCCTCAGCACAGGGGCTGGTGGGTCATGCTCTCATGCCCTCCACATAGAGGGGGCCCAAGTGTTGGGCCTGTTGGTTGAGGCATGGGGAATGGTCTGATTAGACAGAAGGCGCTGATTTGTCTTTCAGCAGTGCCGTATGGTGGGAGACATGTGCCATTCGCGAGTTGATGGCGAGCTTTATTGTGGCTACAATGAACGACCAATCATGAGCGATATTACTTTCGAACTCAATAGTTTGGGGAGGCCGGGATGGTGAGAGGTAGTCGAAATGAGCCAAGAGCGCCCGACCATGCTGCATGCTTCGATCCTAGTTGATCCTGTGCCTTTTTGGGCTAATCGCCCCGCCTTACTTCAGCCGCATGGGAAAGTTGGGTATACCTTGAAACCTGTGAACCGCATGGTTGACTGTATTCATCAACAGAGTATCCTTTGCCTTGCTTTTGGCGGCGGCTAGTCGCATGCGCGAACTAAAGTTTACTGTTGAATCTTGTCATTGCTTGCCAGCTTTCGATGGTGCTCTTAATGCACCTTTGTCCTCAGATTGGTGCATGCATAATTTGTGCATAATTTGTGCGTAAGCAAAAGTAGGATCAACAAACACACCTGCGAGCCGCAATGTACAGCACCCCTTTCCGGTGAGGGCATTCCTGGGAATGCGTCAGCGAAGCATTTTGGTGGGCAACAAAGCTGCCGATTGATTTGCTCGATCGCCATGCGCTTTGTTCAAGAAGTCTACTGGTGGATATCGCCAAAAGCATGTTGCCATGAGCCAAAGCTGGACTGAACAATCATTTGAGGTTTGGTGAACATGGGAGGGACATAGGGGGACTCACTAAATTTCAACCAAGCAAACACTGGGTACCAAGCCTACTGTTCCCATGCCCCCTAAGAAAACGCCCATATGTGGAGCGTGGCTCATGTGATTGCTGCGCATTTTTCCTCCGGTGCTCCAACCGCTCGCAGGCCACGACGTCGAGCCGCAGACCATCCGCCCCGGGCTTAGCGGGGACCTGGTCGGCTTGTTCCCGGCAAAACCGGCAAAGCGTCGACCGTGGGTCGAAGTTTGGCCCTTCGGCATGTCGACTACCAATTTGATCAGCACGTTGCAGTTTCTCTCTTCAGCGTTTCTGTGACTGAAATACAGATGGAGAGGATGGCTGACAAGGCGGCAGGTGAATCCCACGCCAGTTTCTAGCTTCTTGATGGCCAGTTGAGAAGTTCCCATGCCACGCAGTCGGTGATCAGTTGAAGCTCCAGGCCGAACATGCGCCGAGGCGCCAACGTGCCCAAACACTTCACAGCTCCCAACCTGCCGCAGCTCAACCATTCGCAGGCGAATCCATTGATCGGCAAGACATGTGAGGTTTCGCTGAAATTCCTGATCTGTTTGGTCCGTTTTGGAGGGACGAGAAGGGGGGGACGCCAATTTGCCCCCAAGAACCAGGGGAGGCGCCCTGATTTCCCATTTCCTCTTGGGAACCTCCTGGCTCACCTTTTGGCGTTCCGCTTGTGCTTCCCATCGACCCCGAGAGCATGTTTCCGGCTCACTTGGAAGACCTGAACCCGCGGGTTTCTTCGCGGAAAGGCCGAGCGGGTGCTAGGGTGGAGTTGGAGTACCCTCCCAATACGAAGCTTGCAATGGACCCCGCTGAAGCTGAAACGGCGTGTTTCCTCTTTTAACAGGCTGAATCTATAGGTTCACACATGAACCCATGGCCCTTTTGGACCCTGGGGCTGATTTCCCAGAATTCGGTGGTAACTAATGTAATAATTTTGGGATTTGTTTGGGATATTGACTCCCCATTTATTATTCGCAACCTAACATGAAGCGTCAGGGGCCCCTTTTCAGAGGCCCCATGGGACGACTTGCCGGGGGCGGTTTTGGGGCTGCGGCTCCGGCTCCGGCGGCTCGAGCCGGCGCCTTCCACGCCGCCAGGTCTATGCGGTGCGCAAGGCGCTCTCCAACCCGCTGTGCCTTATCCAGGGACCCCCAGGACTTGGCTGGGTGGCACCAAATTGAGAAGGAGCTCTTTTTTTTCCCCCCTAAGGATTTGCTTTCCGTTTTTATGGGGCACCAAATTGAGAAGTGGCATCATTCGCGCAGAGGCAACACATGGCACACAGAGTTGGCACTCTGAGCGGCTCCTCTCCCACTCTCACTGCCAAGCAAACGCGCAGATTTTTTGCTGGACACAGATGTCCAGCTCCAGGAACTGGCAAGACCGTCACGAGCGCCACCATTGTGTTCCACCTCACCCGGCAGAACCAGGGCCAGGCGCATCGGCTTATTGATCGCCTTGCCCCCGCCCAGGGAGCTTGGACGATGTGGATGAAACCTGAGCTCTCCATTGGTTGCTGCGTTGAACCATGCATTCGAAACCAAAGGCATGGGAGGGGTACAGCAAGCTAAACAAACACAAATATGGCTCCCCATGCGCAGCGCCATTTTTTCACCCACACCGGCCTTTTGTCTGGGCGTTTCTGCCAACGCCTCGAAAAAAAGGCGTCCGAGCCTTCAAACGATGCCGAGCACACAAGGGTCGTTGACGCGTTGTTTGGTCGCTTCGATATCCCAACCAAAGCTTCTACGTATTCGGATCGCTGGAAGCTGCCTGCTTGTGCTCGCAGGTCCTGGTCTGTGCTCCCTCCAACATTGCAGTGGACCAGCTGGCCGAGAAGCTGCACAAGACGGGGCTGAAGGCCAAGCCATTACCTGGCTCATGGCTTTGATGTGTCGCAGTCGTAGTTGTGGTCAAGTTTTATCGCTTTGATACATGTATGACATATCCATATGCCTAGATATGTGTATATCTATGCAGGTTGTTTCCTCTATTTGTTAGAATCAAGTTGGGCCTCCATGCCAGCTATGCGTTGGCCCATGAACGTGCTGGCCATGTGCAAAGTGTGCGCCTTGTCGGAATGAACACACTTTGTCTACATTTCAATACTCCAATGGTCCGCTCTATCCTTGATTTTTGCAGCTTTTTGACCATGGCGACTGGAGGTCTAAGGTCGAAGGCGAACCTTGAGCTCATCACTGAGATGTTGGAGCACAGCTGAAGCTCATCACGTCATACAGATAAGTTGAGCCTCAGTTACTGGCTTGAAGATAGCATTCATGACCAGCTCAAGTGGACTTGAGGGGAGGTGAGCAAGGGAAGTGGGTGACAAGTATTTACCCATGTCTGGCCACGCATCGCCCACTCAGGGAAGAATTTTAAAGGATCATCCTTGAGACTTTTGAGGAGCTCTCTCGATGTTCATGCCTCCTTTTCTTTCGCCCGGCAGCGGCATGGTTGTGAGAAAATACGGGTTTATTGTTTGCCCACTTGCTGTGATACTAAACAAATCCCCCTCAAAGCGATAAAGTTGATCTGGGATCGATTCAGATCCCTCAAAATGGTGAAGCCGCTTTCAGTTGGCATTGAAGGGAAACAAACGGACGCCAACCATACTTTATCGCTTTGAGGGGATTTGTTTAGTATCACAGCAAGTGGCCAATAATCAACCCGTATTTTCTCACAACCATGCCGCTGCCGGGCGAAAGAGACCGGAAAGGAGGCATGAACATCGAGAGAGCTCCCCAAAAGTCTCAAGGATGATCCCTAAAAAATCTTGCCTGAGTGGGCGATGCGTAGTATAGCGACCGCACCATTTTCTTTTGCCAGGTGGTGCGCCTCAGCGCAAAGAGCCGCGAGGCGGTGGCGAGCAGCGTGGACTTCCTCACGCTGCCCGGGGCCCCATGGGTTGCGCCCCCCCCTTCCCCCCGCTTCCCCCAGGCCCCCGGGGGTTGGGGGGTGGCCGTTGAAAAGCAAAGACCGAAGCGCCTACAGATTTTCGTTTGATCATTGGAGGGGTTGCTGGTTGCTTGGCTAGGTCCCCCAGTAGTGGGTTCCCCTACTAAGGTAGACTACAGAAAAAAGAGTACCCTTGTTCTAACCTCTCTACTGGAGGACCTAGTTGAAATAGGATCATTAAGGGGTGAAACAGCCGTGGAAAAAGGAGTTTTCCCCACAATTCGTTCAACAAGCTATTCGCCAACCAGCAGCTGTGGGGTCGGAAGGCCAATCCTGTTCCAGGACTGTTGGGGGTACTCCTTGATTTCTTTCCCTAGGACACAAGATAACTCCTGTTGAAAAATTGAGTGGTTGTTAGTCAAATGAAAGGGCTTTAACAAAAGGGAACTGCATATACTTTGCGGAGGCAATCCTGGTTGGGGGCGTTGGCTCGCGTAGGCTGTTGTGTCACCCCTCGCGTAGGCTTTTTGCGCAGGCGTTTGTTGAACAAATCATGGCTCAATGCTTTTTGTAAAGTATAAAGGAGTTTGCTTCTTTTGCCTTCTGTTTGTTCTGCAGTCAGTCTTCGCGCAGGCTCCGCGCAGGCCCTGCGCAGGCATTCGCGTAGGCTTTCAAGGCATTTTCTAGCAGCCAGATCCTTGGACAGATGGGGGTTCTCACTTGTGTTGCAAAGGTGATCTTTGGGCCGAGGCTGCCAAAACTGCACTTGTACTGAAAAGTCGCGATCTTTGTGCTGGAGCAGCCAAAGAGCACTTCGATACTTGAACTGAACATCCGCGTAGGCGTCCGCGTAGCCACCTGGAAGCTGACTGCTCGCGTAGGCACCCTTTGCAGCGGCGTAGGCTCGCGGAGGCTTCCGCGCAGGCATGCAAGTAGTGTATAGGCCCCGAATCACCAAAAAGCATTGCTCGATCGTGTTTAAGTTTGGTAGGGTGATGTTCGAAGGGGACATCTCAAAGGCCCTGTGGCGTGGAGGAACGTGGAGGGCCTTGTCTTCATTGGAAACGCTCCAAAGTTTCAATGGGAAAAAGTGCCACACGTGTTGAGTCCAGGGGGCAAAATCAGACTGGGAGCAGTTCACGAGGTGTGTCGATCTTCTTGGGCTTGTCTCACAAGGGAAACCTCACTCTGGTTGGTTGCCCTTTAGACCACCCCTACGGAGACCGCGCCTCAAAGGCACATCCTTCGGACTCAAGGGCCCCTTCGGTGGTTTGCTTTTGGTTAGGGCCGATGCTCTCGGGCAACACGCTGACTCCGTCTTTCTCGCTCACATGTCTATTGCATGAGGCACCACCAAGTTCGACACCTGGATACGCCAGATCACCAGGACGGCGACAGTAGGGTTGCGAAGCTCGGGCCGCTTTATCCCCTTCAAAGGGCGGCGCAAGGCGGCACCAGAAAGCATACTTTGGTCAACTCCTGGCACCGTGGGAACAATTGGGTGTGTGTTTTTGCTTTTCAGCTGGTTTCAAGGGAGCCAAGGTAGCATTTTTGGGGGTCCCCCAATTCTTGACGCATTGCCCAATTGACAACCTGGCCATGACTCCTGTCAAACTTATTGTTCACTGGGAAACGAGGACACATTGGCACCCTGAACTAACTTTTATTTTTTTGCCCTTAGTTCCCTTCATGCTGCTTTTCAACCATACCTAACTTCTTGCAGGGTGTCGAAGCCTGGCCAAGTCTTGTCTATGGCTCATGCTTATGGTGACTGCTACTGGCAAGCAGGAAGCTGCATGGTGCAAGTGGACGGAGTTGGCCTTGATCATGTGCTTTGGTAGACACACACGAGGCCAGGAACTGCAACTGACGAAGGACATTTGAGAGAAGGCACATCTAGAGCTTTTGCTCGGACACGAGCATGCCTATACTTGGAAGGGTTGCACGCTTAAGGTGATGGACTTGACAGAGTCTCATGGCAAGAAAAAGCAAATCTGCACAAGTGACTGCGGGGTTGGATGTGCCGGGCCGGACATTGTGACATGGTACATCTAAAGTGCAGCGATCAAGTACGAAGTAGTGGAGCTACATCTCCCATGATTTGCTTCCCATGTTGATCCCTACAAGTAGGTTGGTGGACATCATAAATCGCGCGAAGAGAGAACATGTGGTTCAACATGTACAAGAATGAAGAGTAGATTAACGAGATTGCATAACAATAGGCCGCAAGAAAGGACAAGTCGTGGGTCATTTGCGCTGAATCAATGCTTTTGCCTACACCCTAATGATTGGCTCAGAGACTCATTTGCGTCCTTTATGAATTCCACCGGCAAATCAGCTTGTTCCGAATCAGCTACCAGTGGACGTCATTTTTTTTCAACAGGACAGCCAGATCCTCATCCACTAATGAACCTATATAGGGAGGGGCCTTGCCCACTTGTGGAACACAAGTCCTGTGTCTTCCCGTTCGGCAATCATGCGCCCGGGCAAACCCTCATGTCCACTTGGGAGGGGGTTCTGCACAAGGGTGCCGGAAAATGGAAGGTCTTTGGGTTTTTCAAGTCGTCCACCTTTTGGTTTTTGGGTATCGACACGGTATTTCGAAGAATCCTGCGGTTTTCGAGGCTTGATCCATGGGTCTTCCAAACTCCAGCTTGGAGCCGCCGATCTGCCTATGGCGCTCCTTTGGTCTTCCCCCAGCCCCACGCCAGTTTTGGGTTCCTTTTGGGGCAAGTGGTTTCCGCCCTGAGGGCACGGAGCTCGGGTTTTGGGAGGGATTTCGGGGATTTCGGGGCGAAAGGCTCTGCTGGTGGGGTTTGGACACGTTCGCTTTGGGATCGGCCATGCTGCAGGAGCTGCAAAAGCTCCTCGCGCTGAAAGACGAGTTGGGCCCGGGGCACCCAGAGTTTTGGATGGGTGGGGGCTGCTTTTCAGTGGACTCGGATGGGCCAAGTGCCGAAAACAGCCAGGGGTTGAGTCCAGTTGCATTTATTCTTTTCCAACCATCGTTCTTTTTGACAAACCAAAACTTTTGGGGGAATTGGTCTCGAAAGCAAGGACATGTGGGTCCCAAAATGGCCCCCGGTCTTCTTTTGGTACCTTCAGAAAAAGGAAGCCCAGGGTCAAAGGACACGTTTTAGATGGGGTTGGTAGTAGGCTGGGGATCAAACGATCCACTCTATGATATGGTTCATCTGGGCAAGACATGGGGCGCCTCATTGACATTTCCTGCAAGCCTGGAACAGCCCATGTTTCCCATGTTCTCTTGGGGCAGCACATAATTTAGCTGGGGCTCACATGTCAGCCCTCTTTGAATCGCCGGGCAGAGGTGACTCAACACAAATACCGCCCGCAGATTGCACTGTGATGAGCATAAATGATGCAGACTTCATCCTCATGATGAAAGAAGCAAACCACGGATCATGGTCGGTATGTGTTGTCCTCATCCTGCTGGCGCATAGAAAGTGACCCCAGAAAGCCAAACCATGTCGACGTTTTGCGAAGCTGTTTCGCGGAGTGTGTGCTCTGGGAGCATGTCAGCCATTCTTAGCAGACACTACGTGCCTGGCGTGTCAAAGGAGAAAATAGAGGCATCACCGTTTCTTGACACCACTTGATGTCTGACCCTACTCCGAGCATGGGACAAATCTGAGGTCCAGATGTTGAACATCAGGAGCACGAACCGTGCTGCAAGCAAGCGACGTTTCAGACTACCACGACCTTTACAAGGGCCAAGCACTTCAACATGTGTGCCGTGATCAAACAAACCCTTTGCTTGAAGATTGTAGATTGTAGTGTCACGAATCCCCAAGCTGAGAACCTAGACAACCATGATAAAGGTTTTATGAACCAGGGTAACCGCAAGCATGTTCAGCCCGGCCCCTCCGCTCAAGTCGTAAAACAAACGGCTAGCAGTTTCAGTAGATGGCTCTACTAGCTGCAATGGATATGTTCCAAAATGACCTAATGTAAACCCGTAAACCAAGACCTACGTAAACCTCTACCTACGTAGACTTACGTAAACCAAGACCGTTCGTTCTGCGAGGCGAGCTGTCCCACGTCGACGAGAAGAAGTTCAAGCAGCTGCAGAACTCCACTGAGCGCGAGCTTCTCACCGCGCGGAGCTCGGTTTGTCCGGCAGGTTTGTCAGATGAGACACTTGGCTGTGGGCCATAAATAGGGTAACCCCAAAGTTGCTGTGGGTCATAAATGGAAATGGTTGAATGGTAAACCCAAAATGGGTTGTCGTGGTAAATAGAAACATGGACTAAAGTGTGCGGTCCCCTGGCGGTCATATGAGTTTTGGGAATGTTTGGCTAGAGGTTAGAAATGGATGCCAGCATGGCCGGCCAAGCTTGTCAAAAGGGTCAATCCTGAACAAGTAAGAGTTGGACCGGACCGATCTTTCCCTTATGTAGTCCATATCGGGGTTGATAGCTCGCGAGAAGCCTTTTCTTGAGCTGCGATGTCATATTAGGTGGGTCCGACTTTCCGGGAAGTCTTGTCCCCTGATGTTAGTTCTGCAACAGTTCTTCCTTTGCATGTTTTGCTCGAAGGGCAGTCCGTTTGAGCCTTTTGGATATTGGCACAACACACCAAAACAGCACGCTATTAGTGAATGTTGGTGGATGAATCTGTGAATCAACCTGCAGGAAAAGCTGCACACATGTGGAGGTTTCTCCAAAATAGTGGTCCCCTGGTTTCCTTTTGTTTCCCTTTAACTGCCGACCAACATGGGGTCCACCACGGATGGAGAGGGGAGCTGTCGTTATTGGCATGGGCAAAGTGCTAATTCACGGTGCCACACGGTGAAGAGCATATTCTATGTTCCAGCCTATTGCATGTCAATGATATGCCGCTTCGGTGACATTTGGGAGTTGCAAGATGTGCTTCATCGACATTACTTCAGAGCCAAGCAACCTGTTCTTGGAACCGTCAAAGACCAATCCATCAGCATCATATGTTTTGGACCAAGCAATCAGACGACTCACACGCCTGTGGGCGCGTCTGGCCCTTACACGAGGCTTCATCTGAGGAAGGCGCCCAAGTGATCGGGTGTGTCTGAATTTTTTACTTGACGGGCTGGGCTACAGCCGTGGCTGTACAGTCATGACAGGCCCGGACAGCATGCAGTCTTTTGTCCACTGGTCGCCACAGCTGTTTTCGATTATCCCAATCCATGTAGTTCTGCTTGGCTCCAAGAGGCTCCAAGAGGCATAATTAGGGCCACTCCTTATAGCGCACGTTGCGCCATAAACAACAACCGTGTTCCACGCGCTATGTTCTGAATCATCAGCAGCCACAGCTTCACAGCTGCAAATGCATGGATTGAAATTTTGGGATCTTCTTCAGCACCTCACCCCGTTGGCTCAGGCGGCCGATGTCATTTGCACCACCAGTGTCGGGGCGCCAGGTTGCTTGAAGTTGTGGAGCCCAAGTCCGTTGGTTGAATGTTGGGATTCCTTTGGAATACCGGACTCAAAGGGGGGACTGGCCTTGATCAATTTGGAAGGGTTCTCCTCTTGTGGATATGGACAAGGACCGCTTGAGCAGAGTCTTGGCGGGTAAGTGGACGCTTCGCTGCTTCGAGCCCGGTATCGGGGTGCTAGATAGCCTACAAGGGCATGGTAAGTTTTCAGTTCTTCCGGGCCTACTATTGGCAAAGGAGACTTATCTCACGGTTTCTTCCTGCGGATTCTGGCTTCTTTGCGGGCGGGAATGGCGTGTCCTACTAATGATCTAACGGTGGAGAAAGTACATACACCTTGTTCATAGAACTTTTGGCTTCCCTGGTTACCAACCCACCTTAAAAGGAGTATGTACCCCTTTTGGGGATAGGGATGTCGCCACCAATTGAATGACTGCTCCCTGAAAGCTCAGAATTTCGCCGCTTCAAGGACTGTCGACAGCGAAGCCAGCGTGCGCGTGCTCCATTCATGACATCTCGCAGAAACGCACCGTGTTGCTGCCCCTAGGTTTTGGCATGGATTCACATTGAGAGAGGTATGGACGTCAATTGGCACGCCTTTTGAGGTCCCTCATTTTACCTGAGGGGGTTGTGAAAGGAGTAGGTGCAACCACCCCGACTGATGGATTGCTCCTGCTGGGACCTCTCCCACTCCGAGGTGGGTGCGGGGGACCCCCGGCTTCAGAACTTCCGCTTCAAGCAGGTGCTGGTGGATGAGTCCACCCAGGCGGACTGGACTTGGTGATCCCGCCGCAAACGAATCAATGGGGTTCTCAACATAAAGGACCCCAAACATGGATTGCTTCTTTGTGGTTTTCCTTTTGCGCGTCCACCATTTTGAGGAGCCTCCTTTTTGTAAGAACATCCCAACCCAAATCTGCACACCTGCGAGCCAATGTCATAATGTCATGCCTCTCGGGTGGTTTTGGAGATCTGGCCTGCCAGCCAGTCGGCGAAGATCTCGTGCCAATGGCGAAGTGAGACCGCCCATGGGATGGATCAGAGTGTTGCAATATCGGAAACAGCGGCTGGTGATTGAAAGAAGTGGAACAAGAAGTGTTCCATTTCCGCCTCACTTCGTGGCTGGTGCAAATCAAGCAGTGCATTCAGTCAAAACACGGCTGTTTCACGCCAGTTTACCAGGCAAGACGTCGTTTGGTGGCGAAATGACCCGTCGTTCATGGCCAGCGTCAGTGCGGAGAACCATGCCGTCTGCCAAAACGATGTTTCATATTTGTCTCAAAATGTGTGGACCGTTGTTGGTCGATGTTAAACGTCTTTTCATGGCCGCCACAATCCGCCCCAATTTGGCCACCCGTGTAAATTTGAAGCCAAAAGGAAGCATGTTGCCACCCTTCAGCCGGTCAGGCCACTGAGCCCGAGTGCCTGATCCCCATCATGCGCGGAGCCCGGCTGAGTGAACTGAAAGCATGAGAAACCAGGGCTTGGAGAGCGCTCTACCTTGAGGGCCCCAAGTGAGATTACTGTTGGAACCCGGTGGTTTCCCTGTAAGCCATCATTTGGAGTAGTAGTTTTGAGGATGTAATTTTAATGGAGCCTGTTTTGCATGTTCCCATAGCATACTAGCGCCGCCTTGACTGCTGTCGTGTGGTGCGCCTTGCGACACGCTCAGGGTGCACCGTCAGAGAGACAACGATTTCCGTGGCAGTCGTGCTTGCTGCGCTTCGGACTGCCTGGATGGTGATGTTGCTCCCTGTGCCGTATGCGGGCGTATGCACTCATTGCACATGCGTGCGAATGCTTTTTGTGTTTGCCAATGATTTTGCAAAACGGTCTTTTGGCGCTGGGGATTTTCGGACAATAGACAGCATGCAGCTTGCTCTATGCACCGTGGTTACTCTCAACATTAGCCACATCAGTAATGAACATCAGGATCATTCAAGATCCGGCCTGCTTTGCGGAAAGATGCGCTGAACGTGAGTTGATGCTTGTTTGTTTTATGCTTGTCACCCAAGACAACACGTTACATGCATAGGCTGGCTGTTTGGGGGTCGAGGCTCAAATGAATCAGCGCTTGCTTGACAAACACCTCACCTGGGATCACCTCTTGTTCTTGCCTCTCCCCTGGCGCATGCCTGTGAGTGGGAGACCAAGGATGGGTGCCAAGCAGATCGTGCTGGTGGGGGACCACTGCCAGCTGGGTCCAGTCGGGGCCCAAATCCCTCGATTCTATGAGCGAGTTTTGTTGGAATCTCCACCTGTGTTTCTGTCTTGAAATCTTCGGGAATTGGTCGTGTCCGTTGTTTTGAAACGGCAGAGGGCCCTTTGGAGGCTAGTTTTCAATTGCGGCTTTGGCCGGAACAGTCATCAAGGAAAAGGCGGAACATGCCAGACAAGTTAATAACGCCTGACAATTCACATTACCCTACTTGGTGGCTCCCAGCCATCCCCTTAGCCTTTTAGCTTGTTAGGGCTTACTGCGGATTTCCATGTAACCCACTAAAAGCTAACCTTGTAGCGGGGATCTGAGGGCAGCCCAGCCTACTCAAAGAATAAAAACATGCCAAATATGAAAGGGCGCGCGAGGCAAGCTTCGGAAGAGGCGATTTGGCTGGATGGCAAATGCCCTTGAGGACCTTGCGGCGAAAGAACCCGATTTCTCGACGAAAGGGGAATTCAATAAGTCACCCATTTCAACCAGGATGTGGTGAAACACTTTTTCGCTTCAGCTGGAGCCTCATTGTCCAGATGTTTAGATGTTTGCCAGGCTTATGCTTATCCAGCTTGCTTTTAGCATCTCAGCTTGCGAGCTATTGGTATGTCAAGTTAAAATCACTAGCCTACTGTTTTCTTAAGGTATCCCAGCCTGATTTCTGAAGATTGCAGAACTGCACTAAATTGCAACCACCAAGCTCTTGGCAAAGTTGCCAAACTGATTGCAAGGCATGAAAGAGCACAGATCACTTCGCTGATAGCTCTATATCTTGCAATGCTTGTGCAACTCCAGCATACGTACAAGTGGGTTCCGTTCATGATATCGAATCATATCTTGCTCTAGATAGTACTCGATCTTTAAATTTACAGATCCTCGCAGCAAATTGGGGTCACCTGTCTAGAATCTGAATATGGTATCAAGCAGTTTTTATTGCATATCGTTCAATGCTAACGATTCCCCCTCGGTTAACTATCAAATTCCAAGCATACCGATAGCACACAGCATGTGGGATTCACATTTGACTAGCTCTACTTCCACTCATCACCACAACCCTCATCTCATGACTTACTCAATAATTTATAGCCAACTGTATGCTTCTGAATCTAACACCATTGATAAGATATGCGGGACCACACTTTGCCTTTGTGTTGGCTTCAGTCCATGTAGATCGGGCAGGATAGGAGAACATCACCTTTGCAGCGGAGATTTGGATGACAGCAAGTTACACGTCAGAGGAGTTGAGGGTGGGTTTTGCTTTGGAATCCGTTGAATTGGGTTTGCCAAATGCCCTAGTGCTGACTGGAACCCATCAGCTAATGGCAGTCTGACGATGTAGAGCGCTCAAATGGCGGGCCGCTCTTGCCAGTGAAGGTTGACTTCTTTGCCACCTTGTCTTGCACTCTGTTTTGCGGGCCTTCCGCTCATCTCGATGGAGCTACATTGTGTTCTCCAATGGGCTCACACTTGAGAGCGAGCTTCCCATCGGCAGATTTCTATTTTTTCCGAGGCTTAAGACTCGGTACCCAAACCAAAAGCAGAGCCACCTTCTTGGGTCCGGGTCCCCTGTGGCACGTTCGATTCGTCGCTAGATGCTCCTTTGGGGAGGAGTGATGTTGGCGTGAACTTGTAGCCTTTTTGCCCTCAAAGCACTCCATGGCTCAGGTGATTATGTGCAAAAAGGCGGCCAAGGCGCAGGGTGGGTCGATGAGCGCATGGCACTGCCCAGAGGCCACAGCATCGAGCCTGCTTGAAGGGTGCATGCCCGCATCATATGACCATGTTGCAAAGGATTGGCACACAAAACTTGGGAACAACTCCCAAGCTGAGCGCCATGTGGCGTACTTCTAGTCTTGCTTTCTTCTTGTCTTGTGGGGAGACGCGTGCGAGAAAAATGGTCAAAGCAAGTTGTAGGTGTTTTTGCTTTGCAATCTTACTCGCCTGGTTACGTGCCTATTTGCTCACCTATGTAGATCTTGTTTGAGTAGCCCAGAGAAAAGTCAGAAAGCGAAGGGAGATCACGGTGCCAAGTCTGCGTTCGTCCGCAGAAATGTTCGAAGAAATCCGGAGGGCCAGGTTGAGAGAAAAATCCCCCTTGTATGACATACTCATAGAACGAGGTTGGGGTTTGTCAACAAAAGATTCATCCCCTCCCCCCCCCCATTCCTATGGAATTTCAGGAGTCCGAGCAGATGCAATACCCTCCCACCAACTAACATGGAAGTGCACAAAGGCCCTTTCCAGCAGGAAAGTCGTCTTTCTACAGGGGTCTGTGCACAAACCCATGGAATCGCTGGTGGGAGGGTATCCAAACGAGAGAAAGCGGATGCCGACCTTCGCCAGGCTGGGCTGCACCAGAGCCTTTTCGAGCGCCTCATCTTCTTGGGCATCCGGCCAGTCCGCCTGGAGGCCTGCTGGTGGAACGCGCCGCTGGGTTTTCAAGGCCCGTCCATAGGTTTTTTTTGGCGACCCCTCTGATATTTTGAAGAGGTTTCGAGGACTTGGCAATACAAACCACGGTTTTCGCGTGCGACCGAAGTGGCCTGTCTTTTGTGAAGCTGTCGGCTTGAGCTGAAGGGGTCACTCCTCAAGGCAAAAAATACAGAATTGCATGCGGACAAGTGGAATACTCGCAGTGGTTCTTAGCCGTCTCCTCTGTATTTGCTTGACGAAATGCAGGGCAACCGTTAATGGGCATTAAAAAAGCCTTTTCCTCATGGGGGAACAGTTAGAACCTGCTTAGAAGGCTTCTTAGAAGACCCCTGAGAACTTCCCTGGGGGTTAGGGCCCTAAGGTTTCTCCTCATGTGCAGTTCGCTGACTTCGACTGGCCAGGTGCAGTACCGAATGCACCCCTGCCTGTCCGAGTTCCCTTCCCAGTCCTTCTACGACGGCTCGCTGCAGAACGGCCCGGTGCTTCGGTGCTTCGATGCGGGGTTGGCTGCATAGGCTGCGTAGCTCACGACCCCGAGTTTTGGGCTTCAAAGTTTTTGGGACGATCAACCAGTTTGGCACATACAAGTGCCAATGTACTCAGCTGAGAATCCCGTGTCACAGGGAGCCCCATTTTTGGTTGAGACGTTGGAACGGGAGCCCTTCAAACCACGGGGACCCTGGCACCCCGCCCCGCCCCGCCCCGCCCCGAGGCGTGACGCTGAACGAGCGGCTCTACGCCGGCATCGAGTTCCCGTGGCCCCGCGGGGGCGCTCGGAAGAGATTTTTTTCTCCGCCGGGAATGCGACGACAAGCGGCAGCGAACAACAAACGAAACACAGCTTGACAACACACGACAGCAACATCAACAACATCGGCTGTTTGGGGGGGTGTTTCATGGCTTTGTGGTGAAATCATGGGGCCAGCAAAAGGGGATCCTTGTTTTGACTGGTTGGCGGCGTGGCCTGGAAACATGTTGACGTTTTTGTTTGCCGTTCTCAAAGTCAGCTATGGGTGTTTCGCTTAGGGGCTGACTCTTATGACTGTTTGGGGGTGTTTCATGACTTTGACCATGGTGACATCATGGGGCCAGCCAAAAGGGGGGTGGTTCATCTCCGTGTGGTTCAAGCATGATTCATGGGGGCTGGGGGGGAGGGAGGGAGCCCAAATAAGCCCTACAATACGGCCTTAATTCTTTTGACGGTTTTTGGGTGTTATCAAAGTCAGCTGTGTTTGTTTCCCTTTAGCCTACCACTCAGGGGCTGAGTTTGATCATGGTGAAATCATGGGCCAGCCAAAAGGGGAGTGTTCCATCTTCATGTGGTTTAAGCATGGTTAAAGGGTTGGCCCCACCACGGATTTGTCATTCACCGCTCTCTCCACTCACCAGGTGTATCCATTCACCCAGGATTGGTGATTCCTCTGACCGAGAAACCACCCTTTTGCCTGAAAACAACATGCCAAAGGGGTTTCTACTGGAGATGAGGCAAGGTGAAGACAAAGGAACCAACCATGCCATGCCATTTTTTTTGACAGTGTGTGCCCGGCCAAGGTTTGGAACCATTGGACGCCCTGGTTTTTGAAGGGCTGTCTGCTTGGCATAGTGCAAGTTGGAGCTATAAAGCAAGCATAACCAATCAGATAGCTACTGCACATGACATTTAGCAGAGATTTAGCTTTATTCAGCATTGTATGAAGTTGAGTAGCAGTATGAATCACCATTGAACGCAAAGCGACCAGGACTCCATTTGAAGGCTACCTGAGGTGCAAGGTTGGCCGGGAAAACCAATCCCGAAATGCGATGTCTGGGGCGTTTCCAAGCTCGTTTGATTTTGCCCGCTGGTATGTCTTTGTCCCTGCACTTTCGAAGCCCTGCGTGGGGTGGGTGAGTTGGTAGCTCTTTGTTTTCACGGCCTTCCGCAGGGCCCGTGTTGGGTTTGGGTTCCACATGGGCCTCAGGTCCGGACATGCCCATGTTCTTCCTGAACTCCACCGGTGCGGAAGAGATCTCCGCCTCGGGCACGTCCTACCTGAACCGCACCGAGGCGCGCGCGCCCGTTTTCCGTCCGTGGCTCAAGGTGACGTTTTGGAGCTACCGCCTTTTTGGGGCCCTGCCATCCCGCAAGGCGAGTTTCCTCTTGGTGAATTGTTCTTTCAAGGCGGAATATTATTCAGGGAACGCTGATCCAGAACCCCTGGGGCGGCTTTCCCGCGCAAAAGGCGCTGGAACAAGTCACTGGCATGGCGAGCTCCGAAGCTTCCCAGTAGCTGCTAGGCGACCAACGTGGAGAAGCTGGTGACGTACTTCTTGAAGTCTGGGGTGAAGCCGTACCAGGCGGGCGGTTTTTTCCCTTATGGACCGGATGACCAAACCGCTGAGGGACCTCGGAGACCTGGAGAGAGTTCCATGAGAGTTCAACTCACAAAACGACCGATGCATCAAGGAGAAGTCAATGGGAATCTTTGCATGACGTACCAGCTCGCAAGGAGCATTCGATGCACTCGGCTTCATTTGGCACGTTTCCAGTGCCTGCTCTGCTTCCGGAGGTTGGCATTATCACGCCCTACGAGGGCCAAAGGGCGCGGCCCCAAGGGTTTTGGCGCTGGCTTCTGATCCTAGCTGTGAATGTGTCAGAATGACCAACCATTTTTGACTAGCCGAAGTCGACTGAGAGACAGGCAGGTTGATGAGGGCAGACTCTTATTTGAACTCTGCAAGGACTTGACTTTGGCCCCACCAGACTGGTCCTTTGCAGCCCGGCCCATATAGTGGCCATCCCATCAAGCCGTTGGCAGTGGCTTGGGGGTAGAACGCGCTCGGCTCCACGCTCCCACGCGAGGCGTACATCTGCTCGGTGCTCCAGCGCCAGACCTGCTTCAGCCACAAGGCATGGGATGAGCATGACCGATCCGATGGGAAGCGTGAGGATGGATAGTCTAAGTTGCTTACCTGGATAGCAAGACTTCATCTGTCAGACAGGGCCTAGGCAGGGCTTCATGTTCTCATGTTCTCGGTTTTTGAAGGGGAACTCTGTTTGCGCGCAATGTTTGCCATTGCGAGTTTGCAAAGGGTGATGCAGATGTTCAAAGGAAGCAAAAGCAACCAGTGTGACCGGTGTGCTTGATTCTCCTTCAAGTTAACATGGAATCCAAGAGGGTCAAAGCGGAGATTCTTTTGAACCTTGGAATCAGTTTGGATTCTTTCCGATTCGGGTATTCCCACGCTGTTGGAGGGACGGATCTTCTGAAAGCCACCAAAACAGATGGCGAGGCCTACGAGGAGATTGAGGTGGCCAGTGTGGACAGCTTCCAGGGCCGAGAGAAGGCAAGTGACGAGCGGGTTGCCTGGGTTCGACTTTGGCACCATCTTGCATCTTTGCCCTCAACTAAAATGGGTGTGGGTCAATCATATGTACATAAAATGGGCTGCACTGGTACTGGAAACGAGGGTCGAAATCTGCGGTCCCTGGTGGGGTTAGTTTTGACCCAAACCCAAATGTGGGTCAAAAACAGGTAACCATTTCAAAATGGAACTCTGGCAAGTGGAAACATGGACCAAAAGCCTGCGGTCCAATTCCAGATGGTCTAATTTTGAGCCATACCCCTATATAAATCCAAAGTTTAGGGTTGCCTCGCGGTTTGAATCCACATGAGCGCTTCGTAGGTGAATCAAGAGGTTGCATGGCTAGGCTGGTGGAGGTGGATGCTCACTAGTCTTATCACTGAAGAAATCTCGCTTGGGCCTCGCCCTAGTTGGGTATGTGTCAGACCTACAAAATGGTGGTGTTTCTTTGAAGCTAAGGCAAAAAGGGCACCCTTACAGAAAAAAACAACACCAACAACCGACTCTTCCTCACATGTTTCCTGCCTTCTTGCCCACCTGTTTTCATGTCCAATGTCAGAGTGCAGGAATGATGCGTGCTTGTTCCAAGAAGCAATCACGGAATGGGGACCGGAGTACTGCAAGGTTTTGGCCTGGTCCACTTCCACGATTGTTGGCCGAAGGGTACAGGCGGAGTTTTCCCGGAACCCCCCCCCCCCTCCAATTTTGGGGGTTTGGTCCAGTCAGGGGACCCCGAGCGGGTTCTTGTAAACGGCTTCCGCTCGCTATGGACATAAATCAATGTCCAACCTTTCTTCCGCAGGACTTCATCCTCCTCTCCTGCGTGAGGTCCAATCAGCGCAGCCCTCAGGAGGCAACTCTTGGATCTGTGTTTTTTGCTGAGGCGCGGTGCCCACTTTGGGGTCGGTTTGGCGGAAAGAATGAAGAGGACAACCCACTTTTTGTGGGAGGAGTTCCCTAGTTTGACACATGCCCATTTGGGCCTGTCCAAAGCTAAGGATTTGACCCCCATAATTCCTTCAAGCATGGGTAACCCCAAAACAAGACACACCCCAATTGATGCAAAACGATACATAGGGCACAAACGTGTTTGCCCAGCGCTGAATGCATCAAACTTGTGTGCCCTCACTTTTCAGGTAGTAACATGTAGTTGGAACTGCTAGGCTATGTGTTGGGTTGTTCTTCTTGCTTCAGGGCATCTGGAACTCATTGCCATATGCTCGCAGTGATCATGTCCATTCAGCATAGCCGGAAATGCAATTCGACCGCCACGTTTGCGCCATGCCTCAGGAACCAGGGCATTGGCTTCTTGAACGACCCGCGGCGTCTGAACGTGGCGCTGACGCGCGCCAAGTACGGTCTGATCATTTGCGGCAATGCCAAGGCATGCCAATCAGTGCGCTGATCTGATGTGCATTTTGACTTGGCTTCAATTATGTTTGAGGAAAACACAGCAAGGCTGGTTTTAATGACGGATAAGTTGTTGAGACCCGCATCTGTTTATCCAGGAAAGTTGACTCATGACTCGCTGACGCTTTGCTTTCGTCTCGCAGTCCTCCTCGTGCCTACTTTGGAAACAAGGCGACATTTCAGTGGGCCGCCCTGGAAAAAGGACTTTTTGAGTTGCTTCCCAGAGATGGCAATGATGGAAGAGTTGGTCTACTTTGCTTCAAGCAGGCTTTGCCTTTTCGTTGGGAAGCCAAACGGAGAACCATGTTCAAGCTGGGTGGTGTCTCTCCAGAGTGGGTTTGCCTTTCCGTTGGGCAGCCAAGCTGCATATTATTTTTTAAGCCCGCGGCATCTAAGCGTTGGCAGGTGCTGGGCAAGCAATTCCGCTCTCAGCCCTCGCTCTGGGTGAACCTGCTAGGAGCCGAGCGCATGGCATCGTTGAACTCCCTCTTGGGGAACAAACAGTATTTATTGTCCGATATGACATGGTGAGGCATGCGATGCTAATCGTGGGGAGCTTTAAGGTTCACAACACGGCATGTAGTCACTGAGGCTGAGAATCATGGAGGCTGAAAATTGCATTCGCACGATGAAGGCCTTGTTTCGGCGAAGACTTCGAAAGGTATTGGTGACGCAGATTAGCGAGTGTTGTTGTTCGCTACGCATTAGGAAAGCGTGCTTTAAGATTGGGTGTCAAATGGGCTATAAAGTTAAAGATCGGATCAGCCTTGCTGTTTCTGGCACTGTGACGGGTTGGACAGGAGCGAAAGTGCAAACCTCTAGGCGACCCCATCCGCCCACCTGGCCCCTCAGGCTGAGCCACTATAAGAAGTACGAGCTGGTGGTGGAAGGCTCCCTGTCCAACCTCCGCCAGTCTGGGCGCTCAGAGCTTCCGCTCCCATCTGTCTGATTTCTATCGCAGGTTACGCCATGTTGCGCCCATGGGAACCCTGATCTAGATGTGTCTGAGAAAGTCGGCATGTCTTCAAGATGTTCTGCCTCGAACTGCTGGATCACACTGTCTCCAAACAACTGAATACCCCCCTGTCTTTCTGCGGTACATCCATTCACTTGTTTGTCATGGTTTTGATTCGGAATCTCCACATATCCATCTATGATAAGCACATTTTACCCCGCAGATCTGCGTTTTGTCCAGCAGGATTCATAGCGTCAATGCTTCTGTTTGGCAAACGAGGCAAGGAGGCAAGGCCGGGTTTGAATCACTTGGTCCCAAGGACTTCAAGTCCTGGACTGAGGTGCCACATCACCTTCAGCAAGCCCATGCGCCTGCCGTCCCGCTACTTTGCCCGTGGCCCCATCGGAGCCGAGGCCGTGGGCTGCTCATCTTCTGACAGAGCCAGAGGGGGTAGGAAATTCCAGCCGGAGCTGATCGGGTCTCTGCGCATTTGTTCAAAGAACCAGGTCCTGGTTGCCTTTGAAGGCAACCCCCAAAAAAAGGCGGTTGAAACGGCTTCAGACCAAAGGTCGAATCGCGGCCTTGGGCTTTGGCAGGTTGGGCAGTTTGACGACGAGAAGCGAGACCAGATGGACATGGCAAGCCTGACGTGGTTGACGTGTGGCTTCGGTGGTAAGCTCCCGGTGTGGAAGATGTTCCTCCAAACATGCCCCCTGTGCTGGGTTCCAGTTAGACGGGAGAATAATGGTTCAAGCAACGCAAACGTCTGAAGCCACCTGCGCCGTAGCAAGTTCATTCACTGGGGCTGGATTTGTGCGGGATTTTGGCGAAAAAGATTGAATCTCAGACATGTCTGATTCTGATTGAGTGACAGACTTCCAAAGTCTGGTTGCCCGTTGTGACCTCTCTGACTGCTGTTTGGGCTGCCACCCCATCTGTCGTGACCCAGCATTCTAATCCGTTTTTTGCCACTAGGACACCCATGCAACTCATCAGCTCAGGATCAATTGAGAAGCCCCCTTTTAGTTCGGCATTGGCCCTGCAAAGCCTCGTTGCTACACGGCCTCAGATTCATTTCTACTCCCTGGGAAAAGGGAACGCCACCCAACAGCGGCGGTTTCTTCCCCATACTTTGCCTTTGTAGGGAATTCAGTCGCTTTTATTGCCAGGACTACTACCGTGGGCCTGCAGCCAGCGGCTCCAGCACCAACGGCTATGGGCGAGGGTGCCCAAAGCCGCTGGGAATTTGGACGGGAGAGTCCTCAGGGGTTCCTTAGATGCATGTTGAGGTGTCAATCTTCAGACATCCAGATGCTGCAGCTGCACCATTGGACATGGCATCAATCATTCTTTGGTTGGTACATGTTGGCCAACTTATCCAAACCACCTTCAGCTGTGTCAAAGGGTTGCTTCATGTAGGCGATTTTTAGAAGGAATGGGCCCTGTGAGAGGATCCTTCCCCACTCTCGGGGATCCTTCTTTGACAATCCATAACCACTAACTGGGGTGCTCACACTCTAGATGGTAGTAGTTTCTCCTAGAGCGTATCCCCCTCATTTTGCACATGCGTACCCGGACAGTATCTATACCCGCCGCGGGTACTAGCTGCATTTTGAACAGCCTAGAGGAACCTCGACCACGCTGGGCCTTGTGTTGAAGTCCTTGATTCGCGCAATCAAGCCAAGATGTCAAGATGGGACCCCAACATGTTCGGTCCCCCTATCTCTGCTCCGATCTCCATGTTCCGCGCCCCTTTTGGTGAGGCCGAGATTTCATCTTCTTTACTCACTGGATTGATTGGTGGTCAAAGAGCTTATTACCATGCATTCCTTCGTAGTCCCGCTAGATCAGTCAGATGCTGTTTGCTTTTGTGGGATTGCATTGTAACAGCGCGCTGGAAGCGAAAGGAAGAGAATCACTGCACTGGAAGGTTCCACACTTGGTGCGAACCGTGCACAGAATGAGATGCGACAATGATCCGAGAGGACGTGAATTTCGTCCCACCAACATGGCACCTGACAGACGGGGTTGGTTCCCTTCAACATTGATCTTCCAGGCCTCTCCCACAAATGCTATGTTGTTGGTGGGAAAGGCTACGCCGTTCTTTCTGGAACTGGCCGATTCAGTCTCAGAGGCTGACGGGTCACGGATTGCAACGAACTTAGATCCTGGCAGTTCTCACAGAATTCCTCGGTCCTCCACGCACAAATCCAACACGGCGATCACACCGAACGGGAATGTTTGGGGCATGGGGATGTAAGTGGCAAGTCGACATGATGCACAGAAAAGATGCTTCCATGATTCAAGCCGCCACTTTCGCGCGACCGAGGCCGGGAATGGCCCGGGCACTCAGGTAGGCAATCGCTTGAGACGTGTCCGCGACTTCGTGCGGGCCAGCTTTCGGAAGGCATGCCCTTAGCACGGTTTGGCGTTTTGAGAGTTTTGGTACGAGCAAGTGTGGGAATCCTTGCAACTCCAAGAAGCAGATAGACGATTTCTCGAGACTCGCAGGCTGGCTTACGAAAGACTTGGGCTTGCACCTTGCCTTTTAGAAGCAGCCCTCACATGAGTGAACAACGACAAGGGTAGGATAATGGAATCGGGTCCATCCTTTTCCAGAATTTCCACCCTTGTGACGATGGGATCTCTGGACATGTGGATAGCCCTGTGTTGCATGCTTGCTGAACCTGGGCCTAAACAGGCAAGATAGTTTGACGCATCAAGTTGTTAGGCACTGTACCATGTGATTTTGTCTAGATATTTGTTAGGAGCTGGAGTGGAACGGGCAGTTGGTGGGCCATGGATCAACATGGGTTTGGTGCGGTCCGGTGTTTGGGATGCTCCTTAGCTTGATTCTGGAAATGGCTGTAAGTGGTCATGGTTGCCCTTAGTAGGTATTAGGACTCCTGGCAAGCTCACCGTTTTGGAGGGTACAACGACCTAGGGCACCTTGATAAATAAAGGTCCCCCTTTGCCAAACGACTCTGGTGCGACCTCAAGGTTGCTAGGGTCTCCGCAATTCCAACGGTTGGTGACCTCCGTGTTGAAGGTTGCTTCCTCGGTGCATTTCTTATTTCAATTTGGTGAGTTCATGCCAACTTGCCCAGAAACGCACACAACCATAAGACTGCCCTGGTTTTTTGGCGTCCCCTTTCGGGTCGAGTTTGCCAGCGGCAGACTCCGAAATTCCACTTGTAGTTAAGTTTTGCATTCTCCCACCCTCTGCCTGAAGGTACGGGGATATCCTTGGGTGGGCCCAGGGCTACTTCACTGTGCGCGGTGGACGTTCAACGGGGCAATCAGACAATAAGCGATCGACCTCAAGAAGAACTTTGGTTCGACTAGTTTCCTCCCAACAGCGACCCGGGGGGTTTTAACTCTGCAGCATGGGAACCGATTTCTCCTGAGGTGGCGCAGCCCATGGGCCCGGTGCAGGCTCCCACGAAGCCGGGGGCTCGGCCTTCGGCCTGACGATGTCCGGTTTGAGCCCGGGAACGGGTCCCAAGCTCGGTCAACCGCCTGGTCGCGATTTGGGGAGGGGTGTGTTGGAACAAAGCCCAAATTTCCGCAATTTGAGCGTGGGGTTTGCTTGCACAGAGTTTGAGCTGTGCAAACACACCCGCACACAGACTCCCCTCCCTTCTGCCCAAATGATAACGAGCTCAACAATTCGGGCCCCATGACGAACGCGCTAGGGGACTCCTGATTTCCCGTTGGTGAACGGCAGCAATATGCCGAGATGGTTGGCTTTTTGGAGTGCAGGGAAGCTGGATGGGTCACTCGTCTGGAGAGACTTGATGTCCTGACAGACGGAGCTCACAATGGGCGATTGCAGCGATCTGCGGTCAGCGGTATGAAGCTACGTGTAGTTGTTGGAGGTTTGGCGAAAATATCCGGTAGTCTGTGGTGCATTTGGGAGGGAGGAAGTGAGGAAGGGAGAACGGAGGGGGCTCTCTGAATTTCCCCATCGAGGGGTCTCTCAAATTTTCCGGTTGACCTCCCAGGCGTTGCTTAAGACAGCGAGGTGTTGGCGGTCATCGAACACGGTCGGCGAATCATCTGATCGAAGGAATTTTGTTTTTGCGCTGAAGGAGGCCCACCATACATAAATAGCCCTTATGTATGACGCAATCCCTCCTTGAAGACTCACATTTCGGGGAGGGGGTGGGGTAATTGCGACCTTCAGGGTACAAGTCTGGAACCTTGGATTCCCCTTGAAGCGGGCCGCCTGCCGAGCTGAGCTGGTCCAAGGTACTTCAATGGGCCGTCAATGTGGGGCCCCGAGTCCTTAGCGCGGGCGGCGTAAGTTTATCCCTTCCAGTTTTTTGTTTGTATCTTCCATGGCTTCAACGGCAAGACCATTTGGATCCGGAAAAGGAGGTGAACGATGGGGAGCAACTGCCCTGTCGAGTAAAAAAAGGCGCTTCATTCGCAGTCACGGCAGTGCCCAGTTTCAATCAAACTGGACCTCTTTGGCATTAGGAAACGAAACGGATGCAAACAATTTGGCGAGTGAGTGGAACTTGTCATTTTCTGTTTCGGTCGATTCAGACCGGTCCAGTGAAGGGTGTGCTCCTTCCCGTGCCCTTCTCGGATTCTACTTGGTGGCCCGCTGGGTTTTTCTCATGATTAATGCTTTCGACTCGATATTCGATATTTGTACACTTTCTTCGTGGGTTGACAATCTGCCATGGGCACAACGATTGGGAACCTGCCGCCACAATCGAAGCGAGCCATTTGCTAAATTACCGCATGTCTTGGTCCAGTCCTGCAATCACGCCTATCTGCAGCTGTGCCAGAATCCTGCCAGTCTCGCTCCCAAAGACCTCATAAGGTGTGTCCAAAAATAGATGGTTTTCCTTTGGTTTCCTTTGGTTTCCTTTAGAAACCGACAAAACAAAGCAGGTAATCTCAACAAACGATCCGGCCCCCCATAGATGACAAGCTGGCTCGTACGGCATGGCCACAGTTTGAACCACGGGTGAAAGGTACAGCCAGAGCGCCAGTTTGACGGCATCCCAGAGAAGCAGTGACAGGAGCCGTCGGTTGCAACCCGTTCTCCCGGCCGCAAAAAAGAAGAAAGAACACGCCAGGGGTTTCCACTTTGAGCAGCAACTTTTGTCTCAAAGTGTTCGGGGATGTCCAAAGATGAGAATATTCCTTTGGTTTCCGATGAATGCAAAAAACACAGAATCGTCCCATGGTTTCCAAGGAATGCAAAAAAAGCCATGTCCATGAGAATCTTCCTATGGGTTTCCAACGAATGCCATTTGCCGGGCTTCCCTCATGACACGTGGTGCCATATTTGAGGAGCCAGGGCTCCGTGGAGCGCACCAAGAAGAAGGGCAAGAACCTCCGGAAGCAGCCGGGGGGCATGTCTCAAGGCGGCTCGCTCCGGGTCGACACTTCGGCACGACACAAATCGTTGGCTGAGAGTAACATGGCTGTGGGTCAAAACCAACGGTACCATTTTGACCAAAATGGGACTGTTCAGACGGATAGCATAAGAGCCCTGTGGTTCATCTGGCAGTGGTGGCAGGGGTGACAGGGGTGGGCACGAAGACTGATGGGTGAAAGTAGAGGGTTTGGTGTCGTCAGCCCCTTTACTAATAAAGAAAAGTGTGTCACTTGCTTTCACCCTCGCAGAGTGTTTCCTTCTTGTGCACAAATCTTCACATGCAAAGGAGCCAAAGCAAATGCCAAGCAGTATGAGTACTGTTGGCTTTAGCTTTTGCGCGGGTATGATTCACACGCCCTTACCGAAGCCTGA